TATTTTATGTATTTCTTAACATTTTATATTATAACCACAAACATGATATAACCAAGTGACAGAATATTTGAAAAAGATAAACAGATCCATACTTTGGTCATTCCAACAGAGCCATACTTTCGTCTTTCCAAAAAACAATGACTATGGTGACCACTCCTGGAAGATAAGCTCCGGGAGGGCAGGGCTACGCGTATCCTGTCTACTGCTTTGTTTTTAATTTTTAAAGAATGTAAATACCTGGCCCGGCTGGTATAGCTCAGCAGTTGAGCATAGAGCCAGGAACCAAGAGGCCACCGGTTTAATTCCTGGTCAGGGCACATGCCCAGGTTGCAGGCTCCATCCCCTGTTGGGGGCGTGCACGAGGCAACCAATCGATGTGTTTCTCTCACATTGATTTTCTCTCTGTCTTTCCCTCTCTCTTCCACTCTCTCTAAAAATCAATGGAAAAATATCCTTGGGTTAGAATAAAAAAAAATACACATTAAAGTATTCAGAGATTATGGGGCATTATGTTGGCAACTTCACCCCAACGCTTATTAAAAAAAAAAGGTTTTGTATAGTACTTGCATAGTACTTGCAACTCTTCTGGAAGTTTGAAATTATTCCAAAAGGAAAAAAGTGGGACTCTCTAAGGGTGAGTCTGAGCATCAGATTTTAAAAGTGGCCGAGGTGAGTCTAACATGAACCAAGGCCACTGCTACAGGTAGGTCTCTGTTACCATCATTAAAGAAAAAAGGTTACATACTTCAGCCCAAGTACACGAACCAAAATTTATTTAACCAAACCCTCCCCACTTTCCCTTCAAAAATGATTTACTGGAGAGTTTTCATATGCCAAGCAAGACAGATCCCTCCCTATGGGTGCTCAGTCTTGTGGGAAATATACATGAGGAGACAGACACTGTAACGATACAATTGCTGGCATTTGTCCAGCAATGGCTCTGTCTGGGCACCATGCTATCTGACGGCAGGCACTGCTCAGATCTTCATTTACAGGATCGGGAGCCAGGTGCAGTGAGATGAGTAAGTGCCGGGGTAGAGCTATGCCGACTGTTGGCTACGCTGCTGGGTTGGAGGGAGCGAGGAGCTATGAGCACACAGGGACCGTTCTCAGCTAGACCCGCAGCCACGCACCCTGTTCCGCTGTAATCACCACAACTCCTCCTCAATGACACCGTGCAGCGGCTGTCCCCTCGCAGCCCCGCCGCCCTCCTCCTCGGGTTAATTCTGAGGAGTGGAATTCTGGGACAAGTTGTAGGGAACAACCTGTGGCTTTCAATACCTGTGGCCATGTCACTGGCACCAGCCCCTGAGGAATCCATTTTCCTGGAGCCTCACCGGAAGTGGGCGTTGAGACTTCAAAGTGTTGCCATTGGTAGAAAACTAGTATTTCTTTTATTACTAGTTAAACTAGATCTTTCCCATTCACGCTCTCTTTAAAGCAGAAACTTAAGGTCTTCATAGTCACTACCGACAGAGAGTCAGGGGACACCCAGTGAAATAACACCCTGGCCTGTGTCCTACTGCAGCCGCTGTCCTTCCTCCCTGTAACCACCAAAGCTGTTGTGTCGCAATGAGCGGCATCCAGAGAAATCCATCTCCAGGTTCCTGCTGAGACCCCCCCCACCTCTGACACTTACTGTGAGCTCAGTGTGAACAGGGGAAGGGTCGAGTTGCTTTGAAATCCTAGCACAATGTCAGCAAGGCAAACACTCTGTGTGGTTTGTTATAAGGACAAAATATACATTGAAATCATACTTCCTGGACATTCGGCACAAGCGTGGCTCAGGAAACATCACGAGGGAAAGACTGAGGGGTAAACTGCCCCCTTCTTGCCACAGCAACGGGGAGCCCATAGTCCCCGTGCCCCCGACAGCTCCAGTGTATGCCTTTGAGACGGGAACTGCCTTTCAAAAAGGTCCTGGGCTGGGCAGTAAAGGTCGTGGTCACCTACAACTAAAGAATGCTCCCTAAGGAACAGCACGTGTGAGTACAAATGTTCCCGGTCAGAGGCGTGTCTGTGTCACGCTGACCCGCACTTTGAAGGCCTATGAGCAGATAACTCTCTGGCCTCCATGTGTTATGCCAATGCTTGGCCATTTAAAGCCCAGTCATCTGCAAGGAGCTAATCCCTGACTCAGAGAGCAGTCCTCGGTGTATCAGCGTTCTTTGTTCCATTCTATTGATAAGGGAAGTGAGACCTGGAAAGAAAAAGTGACTCAGCGGAGGTCACATCAGCTATAAATCACCAGCCACAGGACAGGAGGCTGTTAGGGCACAACTTCCACTTGCTGTGTTGTTTTTGATATTTGCAATTAAATCTGCTGTGCAGTCAGGTTAGAACGATTTTAATCATTTCATAAATGGCTTTGTAAACTGCAGGCGGTAATAGTCTAAATTGCATGAGCAGTCACAGGCATACTTGGATAGCATTTGTTAATGGGCATAAATTTCATGATTAATAACGTTTCAGTTTCGCTGAACAACACTCTGTAGTCAAACCTAGACTGTAGGTCCTGAGCTATCAGAAGGTGAAGGGAATAGTCATAAAATAGGTGGGAATTTAAAACCAACACTTAATCCCTTGGGTAATTAAAAGGTGACGTTTGTACCATTTTTACATTTTGGGAGTATGTCAGCATTTCATACCAGGGTTAGATAAGATTTTAGTTTAGATAAGATTTTAGCCAATTTATACCCTGGATTACAGGAGAAAATCTTACTGGAGCTAATGAAGTCATTCTCTACAGCAACAAGAACAAAAGCTGGCGGGAAGAAAGGTGACAGGCTGTGCCCCAGGCCCACACTAAGAGAAGGCTCTGCTGGCATAAGGGAGGGCAGGAGGGACAGTCACCTGTGCAGGTGGAGAGGTTGGCCACTACAGACACGTCACTCCCACACTAATCACAAACACAGCGGACGTCAGCCCTGGTCCCCTTGGCATCCTGTGGGGTGGGGTAAAGAACTCGACAGACTCGTGTGAAGTTCATGTGGAGGAATAAGCTTAAGAGAATAACCAAGAAAACTTTCTTAAAGGATAAATAAACTGCAGTAGTAAAGTATGTAGTATTTTTCTGGCACCGACCAGTGGAATAAATTGGAAAGTTCAGAAACAGGCACAGGTGTGCATGGGCATCAATCAACGAGAAACGGCAATGAAAGGAAGCGCTGATGAGCAACGTCATAACACTGACTGGATCTCTCCCTCACACCACGTGTCCACACAGGTGCCAGGTGCACTGAGCATTGCAATGCAAGAAAATTAAACAAAATGGGGAAGGCTTCTCTACAGATGATTTCAAAGGTAGAAATAAAATAAAAGACTGATAGATTTGACATAAAACAAAAAATACTAAAGTAAGATGTCTTTTTTTTTTTTTTCAATATATTTTATTGATTTTTTACAGAGAGGAAGGGAGAGAGATAGAGAGTTAGAAACATCGATGAGAGAGAAACATCGATCAGCTGCCTCCTGCACATCTCCCACTGGGGATGTGCCCGCAACCCAGGTACATGCCCTTGACCGGAATCGAACCTGGGACCCTTCAGTCCGCAGGCCGACGCTCTATCCACTGAGCCAAACCGGTTTCAGCAAGATGTCTTATGGATATCATTTTTCTGTCCTTTATACTACAACTAGAGGCCCAGTGCACGAATTCGTGCACCGGTGGGGTCCCTCAGCCTGGCCTGCATCCTCTCGTAATCCGGAACCCTTTGGGGGATGCTGGACTGCCAGTTTCGGCCCAATCCCTGCAGGCGGGGATGTAGTAGTGCGTGAAGCAGCAGGCGGCCGGGGAGGAGCCCTGAGCCCGGGCTGGGCACCATGCTGCTCCTGCTCATCCCGGACCTGCTGCGCCTGCTGCTGCCGCCACTAGCTCGGTAGTGCTACCGCGGAGGTGGGAGAGGCTCACACTGCTGTAGCTGCGCTTGCCAGCCATGAGCCTGGCGTCTGGTGCCCATCCGTCAGCTGAGTGGCGCTCCCACTGTGGGAGTGCACTGACTACCAGGGGGAAGCTCCTGCATTGTGTGTATGCCCCCTGGTGGTCAGTGTGCATCATAGCGACCGGTCGACTGGTCATTCAGGCGTCCCGTCCAGCCAGTTGTCCGGTCGCTTAGGCATTCATTCATTCATTCATTCATTTATTTATATTCCTTACTTTAGCATTTGTCTTTTCATTGCATTAGTTCCTTTTGACACATAAAAATTTTTAAACTATAAAAAAGAATATCAATCCTTTCCTTAAAGTTTCTTTGCTTTGGCCAACAAATGACTTTCTTAACCCCAAACCAGACCAATTTTTCTTTATATTTTCTTAAAATTCTTTGTTTCTTATTTTATGTTAATTAACACGTTAAGCGCCCAGTCACCAGTGACTGACACTATACTTTCTGTCCGGAAGACAAAACAGGCTGGGCGCTTAATGTGTTAAACAGATGAGAGGTCAGAACATGGCTCTGTTCTATATGCACTGTTTGATTTGAGGATGTTACTTAACCCCTCTGAGTCTCAATTTCATTTCCCTGATAAAACAGATATAATACCAACTTATTAGAGTTGCTGTGGGATTCCTAGAAGTAATTTACACGGAGCACTTACGATGGCAGAACCTGATAGAGTCAACGAACGGTGGCTATTTCTTTCAATGCTCTCACATTACATATTAGACTTCTGGATTTCACTGATAGATTTCCATGACTAGCCACTTATGGTGATATTTTCACCTGACTTTAAAACAGGTTTCATACTATTTAATTAATGCTGTAGTTTTTCACTTTTTAAATTACTTTTAAGCCATAACATATGCCAATCAGAAAAATAACAGATCTTTGAAGGCTATCCAGTTATAAACCGCATCCTACTGCTCGGTCTTTTAAAGCTGCAGTCTGAGGTTATCAGGTGACCAGTAACAGTATCACCCAAGAATATTAAGAGGTTCTCACACACCAGGACTGCTGAGCTTATTCGTGAACCTGAGCTATAAGCGGATGTTTCCGACTCACCTCCAGCAGCCCGTCCTCCGGCAGGTCGGTGCAGTGCACGGCGTTCTGGATCTTGGATTTGCCGAAGACCGCCCGGAGGGTGCCGGGGCGCAGATGTCGGGCAATTTCCTGTTGACACACGTACGCAGATGGGCCAAGTCAGCCAAGTGGTGTTGGTGAGAAAAATGCCAGCAATATAAAACGTTGGAATTATTTGTTTATGGAATACACGAATACATTGAGGGGACTAATTTTTCTCGGAAATAGCATGAATGTATGAAAACTTTTCCTGCTGAAGGACCTTCAACTAATTTATTCTTTTCCTCCTCTCCTGCTCTCTCTCCTTCTCCCTCTCCCTCTCTCCTACGCACACACACTTTCACACATACACACAGGTTGCACAGATATACATTCTGCTACAGCATTCTTGGACAGGGTGTAGTGCAAACGTCCAGTTTTTCTGGAATCCTAGGGCACACGGGTGTTCAATTTTACTAAGCACTGCTGACCATTTCCTTTTTAAAAAAATGTATTTTTATTGATTTCAAAGAAGGGAGAGGGAGAGAGAGATAGAAACACCAATGATGAGAGGGAATCATTGATTGGCTGCCGCCTGCATGCCACCTATAGGGGTTCGAGCCCACAACCCGGGCATGTGCCCTTGACAGGAATCGAACTCGGAACCCTTCAGTTCACAGGTTGATGCTCTATTTGCTGAGCCAAACCGGCTAGGGCCCAACCATTTTCTTAAGTGGTTATAAAAATTTTCCCTCACCCACCCGAGCACAAGAATTCCCACCACCCACATAAAAGCCAACCTCTGATGCTGGGTGAGTTTAGCGTTGCCATTCCGGTGAGTATGAATAGCATCATGGCCTTGGTCCATCTTTCCCTGGTTACTAAAGAAGCTGACTGTCTTTCATATACATCCTCTTCTGTAAAGTGCCCATTCTTGTCTTTCTTCATTCCTCTATTAGGTTATTTTTTTCTTTTGAATGTTATTCTTACTATATTCTAACTTCTATTTTTTATCAGTTATATATGATGCGAATATCTTTTCCTAGTATGTAGCTTGCCTTTGAGTTTCTTTAGTATGTTTTCTGATGAACAGAAATAATTTTAATGAAATTAAATCATGCCGAGACTGCTGAGCAGCAGTGAGGCCTCTTGAGGTCAGTGGTCATGGAGGTGAGGGGTCACTCAGGTTGTCTGGGTTCCCAAGCCACGTTTCCTGGTACAATGTATTGTGTTTAGATGACTGGTAATGATGAAGCATAAAGATATAGAATAGCAAGTGTTTACTTCACAGCTGCTGTTAAAATTCAGGCTTTCATTTTGGATAATTTTTTTAGGGAAATGCATTGATACTTTGATTTTATAGTAATACTTTGTGATTACTGTAAAATATTAGCTATGCCTAGGAAAGTAAAAAATACTGCAATACTAAAAGTGAAAGCTCACTGGATCCCCACAGACCATGTCCCCTCCATCTCCTGGACTCCTGCTCCTCCCTCTCCTTGGACTCTGTAGTGAAAACCATCCTCAGGCCCAGGCACCAACCACCCTTGATAAAGCCAAAACAAGTGTCAGACACATAAAAGCAACACAAAGTACCAGCATGTGATTTTCATTGAATACCACAAATAACTGTTTAGAACTGAGCGCAGCATGCGTGAGGGGTTTAAACAATCTTCCAAGCTCTACCAAATTACCCCCATATTCACTCCCCCACACACCTGCCTGCTCAGCTCCAACCCGTCGAATGCTTGGTCAGTGCCCAGCTCATCACAAGCACTAAACATTCAGCTCAGGTAGTCCTGCAGCGGGAGGAAGCGTTCTGCTTGAAGAATGACCTCTACATCTGAGAGGTGGAAAAATGCACTAAGTAGAATGGTGATTAGCAAAATGCTGAAAACAAGGAAGAGCAAGTGTATGTAATTATTCTATTGCTGTATGCATCAAAAAGAACATTATTGATTATTGAATAACTAGAGGCTCAGTGCAAGAAATTCGTGCACGGGGAGGGTGTGTGTGTCCCTCAGCCCAGCCTGCACCCTCTCTAATCGGGGACCCCTCGAGGGATGTCTGACTGCCTGAATAGGCCTGGTCCCGGTGGGCAGTCAGACATCCCTCTCACAATCCAGGACTGCTGGCTCCCAACCGCTCACCTGCCTGCCTTCCTGATCACCCCCTAACCACTCCCCTGCCAGTCTGGTCGCCCCCAACTGCCCTCCCCTGCTGGCCATCTTGTGGTGGCCATCTTGGACCACATGGCGGTGGCCATTTTGTGTGTTGGAGTGATGGTCAATTTGCATATTACCTCTTTATTATATAGGATATAGGATGGGTCTATTCAACTGATAAAATATATTATAAAGCTATTCTGTTTCAGTTCTCCACAATATGGGAGAGATATGCAAGAATAAAATGACCTTTCACTTAAGAAATGAATTAAATTGAGCCCTAGCTAGTGTGGCTCAGTGGGTTAGAGCATCGCCCGAG